CTCTATCTAATTGTTACGTTTACTAATATTTTAATGAAAATGCTGACAGTTTTTGTATCAATTGATGTAACAGCGATCATTTTATTACGTACCGATGTTTTATTTTAAATGCTGATCGAAAATTTGTTAAAACACTGACCGAATAAATAGCAGCCATTTTGAAAATGTGAGGAGCTCTCGAACAATTTCCGCGGAGACAGGTGATAAACTGGTAATAATGCAAAAGCCAGGTGTAACTCGGAAACAAGGTCGTATGTTTACATATGAACATTTCTTTCTTATTTTTGCGTGCTGAATTAACCACTGAAGTTATGCCCACATGTTACAGAACACCATATATATATGTAGTACATTTTTCTACCGCTATGTGTACATACTTATATATGTTTAGCGGTAGAAAAATGTACTACAACTAACCTCAACTTTTTCACGAGACAATTATGCATCCCTCAATAGCTGAACTTTAAATGAAATGAAAACAAAATGTGTCTATTGCAAACACTTCAAACACTTCGCTATATAAACATTTCCGCACTTGCGAAACAGTTATGTAATTAGCTGTAGCGAGCAACGTGTATTCAATATTGACGTTTTGCTAGTGAACTGGAAAATATTGTAACAGTATCTAAACGAAAGTTGTAGAAAACGACGTACTTTCATGTGTGAACAGTGCGAAATGTGTTGATATAGTAATTTACCGAACGACTGAACTTTTTATCTAATTTCATTGGAAAACGATACTGTATCGAATTTCATTGATTCTCGGATAATCGATGTGTTGATCTTTGCTCGACTAATGTAAACGTAAATTGACCAAACGATTAATAAGTTACCTCGATAGGTGATCAATTGTTGATAATTGGAGGAGTCACCACGGTATTCATGAAGACCCTGAGCAGCGTTGAATGTTACTGTTGCAACATAGGGAAGTGGATGAAGGGCGTATCCGCGTTGCCGCATCCGGTTTCCGGTCACGGAACCGTGTCTCTACCTCCGGCTAATCTTCTGATAAATCACTGATAACTATGAAATAAAGTGCGTCGTGTTTCCTTGCACGCAATGCCTGACAATCGACAGACCAAAGTATTTTACATTCGATCACTGTCACTTCTGTCTAACCACATTTCTAATTATACACTACGTACTTTTTTACGTATCTTTGTACGAATCCTTTACTCATACGATATTCATTGGGATAATAAAACAACGGCGTGAAAGTTACTTCTATTTGTTATTGTACCAGCACATCGACCGTAGACAGTAGTATCGGAACAAAAATCGAACCGGTTCATCGATCGTTTTATTTCAAAATTATTAACGAACATTCGTAGAACGCTCTGCTCCCTTTGGAACTTTTCTTTAACTTCTGGATCGGACACCAGGTGGCAGTAGCATTCTTTCCATCCGGGAGCCGCCATCTGTCATGGGAGTCGCGCGTTATGAACCGCGAAGCGTGCGTGGAAGTTTCGAAAAAGGATTCGGATTCGAATGCGGCGAGGTAACTAGCCGCCGTGCGGATAAACGCGAGTTAACCTGAAAATGGCCGAATCGTGCGAGTCGGTGGTGTCAAGTGAAGTGACCAGTGTTGTGTCCCATGGACAAACGAAAGTGCCTGAAACACCAAGTCAGGAGGACGCGGAGACATCCGGTTCCCCTGGTACGTAAGCCCTACTGGAATATCCCGTATCAGTTTGAAAGCAGTTTATTCAAACACAACTGTCGAGCGCGGCCATGCAACAAGTGGCACGGAGCGCTCTTGCATGCCGAACAGGAGCGTACCGGGATATTTATGGGCCCGCCTGGGCCTGGCTCAGCATCCCTGTATTTTGTAACTAACATGTCGTCGATCACGTGACTCATCGTTCACCTATGCGACTTAATTTTCGCGCGTGCAAAGTGTCAAAAATGTCGGCGAGCCGTCAAACGACACGTAACGTAAACTCGAATTGATGGGAATTTCGTTGAGAAACTTGGGACAAGTTTATTTGTTCAACGCGAAGCTTTAGTTTTCTCGATCGTGTTAAGGACATTGTAATCGTGCATTTTTAATGTTATCTCTTATCGTTTCCTTGATGTGGAAGTGACGAATTTGTACGGTTGTGACATTTTATTTCTCGTATGCCCGATAAGATTCTCTGTTTGGTATAGTGCAAGATTTGTTTTAGATTATCGTTTCGATCCGTAGTGTTTCTTACATAGGTGTTTTATCGAAAACCGTTACGGTTGACAGATTTAACATTACGTTACTGGCTGAAAGATTATTGCTAGATAGACAGGTGGATAAGAGATCGAGAAACAACTTTCTGAATCAGAGTAATTGCACGTACGTTGAAACTGATCGCAACTATGAAAGTGTGGCTCTCCTCGAGCAGAACGCAACTTTAATTTTAATCTATTTACACGTAAATCCGACGATGTGTATAATTAATTTTATTCTTGCTGTTAGCGACGAGCTTGTTGGGACATTCCTGCGAAAAAAAAAAAAACGCAACGAGTTCCCATACCGGTTTTATTTTATTTATTTTATCTTCGTTTCACTGGCTCGGATTTTTAATTTTGATGGTGGCGCTGTTAAACAAGAAAGCTGTTAAAACGTTGTTTGCCGGAAATATAGGATTTTCGTTATAAGTCGTTGTCAGCTTTGTTTCAAATACGATAAAATTACGTTTAAAAGTAATAGGTAAATGGTTTTATTCGATAATTACGGATGTTTTGCAAATAAACTCACTTATCGACGAAAAAATGACAGAATGATAAGTTAACAAAGATAGCTTTCAAACTAAGCGTTTAATACTCGAGATTTTTCATGTATTATCTTTTTATACTACTTAAACGATTTTTATTTTTGTCACACGTGACAAAAACATTAATCATAAGGTAAGTCTTTTACCATGTACCGGTATGTCGTGCATTCGTAAATTTAAAATTCCGCGCAAATTTGTTTCGTTTAAAAATTAGTCAATGAAATTAGGTAGTATTAAAAAGAAGTTTATATCAATGGATTGGCATCTAATTAATTCTATTATTAATCGAATGCGTATTCTTTCTTTCCTCACTTCAGTTTCTGCGCCAAAGAGGTCGCCACAGAATATAGGAACACGTTATCTTATAATCGAATTGCTTCAGGTACATAAATATAACTTTGACATTTTTTCATTATTTTATAAATATTTTGACTGTTTGACATTCGAAACACAAAGAAACATAGTTTTTTAGTATATAAAAAAAGGAAATTCTGTAAAAGTTTATTTCATGAAAGTAAAACAGATGGCGTAGCAGGATCATTTCTAATGACGAGTGATACTGACGAGAACACTACGTAGTCGCAAAATAACCTAGTACACCGTAAATACATTTGACATGCAGTGAGAGTCATTGTATACTATGAAACGTCGTATTTTTCGAAGTGAAAGTCGTTATCAAAGAATAATAGCTATGTTAACATCAGATTATGCGGAAAACAGCACGAATACGCAACTAACACCTTTGTTGGAAGAGATACTAGGAGAATTAGAAGGATTAAACCAAACAATCTCACCCCACGATTATATCATTGCTTTAGCAATAGTGTTGTTGAACGAGGCTGATTTTCACATATGCACGTCATCTAAAGATTGCAAACAACAATGGTAATATATGTATATATATATGTATATATATCATATAATGCTGATGTATGTCACTATGGTGTATATTAGTTTTTGATAGTGTTTGTTTTGCAATCGTTCATTAAGTTTTTGTATGTTATAACATTCGTTTGTTACAGTAAAAGAAAAAGGGCACTCCATATACCAAAAAACTGGAAATCTGAAGAGACATCAGTCTATGAAATGTGTTTTTACTTAAAAAGTGTCTCTAAAGTACAATGCAAGCTAGTTGCAATTCCTTTGGAAGGTACATTGATCCTGAATTTTTTTCCTCTCATGGAAGGAAAAAGAACTTACAGTTTAACTGTAGATACTTTGAGATATTATAACACTTTTGCGAATATTCCTAGTAAAAAATATAAGAATCTCAAAGAGATATCGCACAGGTACAATAAATTTATAGAGATGTTGAAGTACTTGTAAACCATTACATATTTTCTCATGAGACTATTTGATAGGTTTAAAGATGCATTATCCACCCCAGTACGGTCAGATGTATTAATCAGTGCTGGATTAACAGGACCTAGTCTTCAGGCCATTCCAACAGAATTAAAATTCAAAATTTTAGGAATGTTGGATGTCTATAGCTTAACAAGGATGGCACAGTGTTGCTCGGAATTTAATGTGCTTTGTTCAGAACCACAATTGTGGAAACAGTTGCTACACAGAGATTTCCCTCAATTTTCCTGCAAAACAGAAGATAGCAAAGATAGCTATCGTACTAGTGTAAGAATAAGAAACAATCGTCGTATTAATGGAAAAAGTTTGAAAGACTGTTGATGACTGTGGATGATGATATGTTTTAAATATTTGTAAAACTCTACTGAAATTTAAATGTAACTTTACGCTGCATAAGTTATCTGTATCTTTTTTTTGTAATAATAAAACTACAAAGATATATTAGGAAAGTTTCATAGGATACACGTTGTTCCGCGTATCTTTCCATTATATCCATTATTTCAACGACTTAGTCCTTATCCGAGTATTAATTAGGAATTTCTCATCGTACTAGTCAGTTTATTTTTTTATTTTTTCGTTGAATAGGTATATGGTTTTTCTTTGGATACGTTGACAAATCAGAATCAACTTAAGGAAACGTTAAAAGTATCAGTATTTCATCTTTTCAGTAACGTAGTGGGTAGAGATGCGTAGGTGGTTTGCTTCATAACTTTGTTTTGATCGATGACGCTCGGAATTCTCCCTCCCGATGATGTAACTAACCTAAACTTGTACCCTTGAGAGAAAGGGCATCGGGGTGAAATCGATCAGTTTCTGTCAGTCAGAAATGTTAGCCAAACTGTACAACTATTTTCCTAATAAACGTATAATCAGAGAAATTTATTCCCAGTGTAGAAAGTTGTGCAAATATTTGTAGAGGATCAATGAACATCCAGCGATCTTTATTTCATTCTCATTCTTACAATTGATGAAATAATGTTTTTGTTTTTTTTTTTTTCTTTCTTTTTGTTCAACTAGTAGAATAAACTCATAATGCCCGCGACTTTGCCCCTTTCAGCGGATGAACCAACGAAGAGGCCGCCAGCGAACAATGAGAGTGCGGAGAACGAGGAAACCACAACGCAGAGCAATGGTGATACCGGTGAGTGATAACCGAGGCAACAACGGCTTTCTTCTTACACCATTGCGTTTCACTTTTGACGCACACGTCAGATGGAGGCACACCTCGTTGCACTTATCGATCTGGTGTACGCCACCGTAAATAGAGAGGAACAGCCGCGTAGTGGAAACGATCGCCACACGATTCGAGTTTCGCAACCGTTATCGCTGCATTCAACGCTCAATTTAATTACACGTGAACGTTTAACGTGTGATCGGTGCACGTTGTTAATAGTCACCGACTGCACGCTTCGAACTCCCATTATGTAATACGAATGAACACAATTTGCCGTGTCCTTTATGCGTTTACAATGCCAATCCTGCTTGAATGTCAGTCGAAATCGACGCAGGAAATATCGATTATCCCTTTCTCCATCTTTCCTCTCAACGATATCCCTCACTCTTCGCAATTTTCTCGTAAAGGTGCGCCAAAGGAGATGGAAATTTTAATCAGCGACTAGGTAGGATTTATCGAAACTTAGAACGTTTCGTCTTTTAGGTTATAAAGTTCAGGATAATCGAAAGTAATGTTAAAGGGGGACTTGCACGGTCTGAAGATATCTTTCGCGTTATTTCATAAATCCCTCCGGAAGGATTAGGTTGATCGTGGCAACTTCATGAAAAACGAGGTCCTTCCTGTGATTTCACGATCCTCACACGTATTAAAATCTCTTGGTAATTTATCTTGGTCTTTCCTGGTTTCTTTCGAACTGGCTGAAATTCTCTTCGTCGTCATTTCTGTCGTATTTCTTCAATCTATACACTCCACTTTCTTCCATTTTGAAAATTGTTCCATTGTTAATAAATCTACGCTTATTTAAAAAAAAAAATTCTTTTCTCCCATAAAGAAAAAATCTTCGTTCTTGACACTGCGACGCGACCGTTCACCAGCCGAATTCCCCTCGACGCGGAGCATTTGCATCCGTTAATCCCCCGGAACGCAGCTCGGCCGAGTGCATTCGCGTGTTCCACGCGATCCCGCGAATTCGAAGGCCGCGTTCGATCGTTAGAAGCGATCGACGCGATCGACAATTGTTATTACGCTCTCGATACGGTTGTCAAATTGCGGTAGAAAAAATGATGGAAACGTTTCTGCACATTGGATTCGTCTCGTGTCGTCCTGTAATGAACGCGTCCCGTTTCGTTTTCGACGCTCGATTTGCGCCCGCGAAATTTCAGGGCTCAGATTAAATGGAGGAAACGGAGGAATTATTTATTCGAACGCCTGCATAATCCACAGAATTTCCCTATTAATACATACAAGGTGAATCAATAAGAACTGACATCTGAAATGACTCGTTTTCTCTCGCTTATATTAAAAGAAACGGTTTGAATGAATCATGTAGCATTAGAAGGGGTGCATCAGAAGGATTTACACAAAATTTTCTACAATTTATACCAAATATTTTGTCTCAGTTTGAGGTTTAACACTTTTAGTGCAACGACGATATATCGTTGCGTACGCGATGGCGCCTTACTATTCGCACCGCGAGAGAACTCTGTCTCAAAATAAATTTATAAAACGTTATAAATAGCCGGATAACTATAAATGTTTATAATAATACTAGGTAGTAGCTACACTACTACCTAATCCTCCTGACGCTTGCTGCGCATCATGGGATTATCCTTTAGTTTTGTGTTTTGATATTAGTCATTTTGTTACAAACAATTGAAAATACCGTATTTATGCTTTATACTACGTGTTCTACATCAAACTATGACCAAACGATGATTCTTCTTATTTGCAAATACTGTTTATAAAAGAAAACTGATTTTTCCGTTCTTCCTAATGATTTTCAATAGATATTATCAGTATGATTTTCAACAAATACTGAAATACAATTGGCATTAATTTATTCTCCCTTTATTTCGTAATATGTTTCTTTTTTATGATTCTCTTCTCAAACCTTACCAAATTGGTTCGGTATTCTTCGCTTAGGTACGATTCTTTCGGTCGGCACTAAAAGGGTTAAGATCAACTGTAGGTCAATTTATTATAGATCGTTGTGTTCGTCTATTCATCTGCTACAACGCAGCGTTAAATCAAAAGTTGCATTGATCGTGAAAAAAATTGAAGTTTGCTTGAAATCTCGAAAAATTTAATTGGCTCCATCCGATACACCTTTTCCAATGCTACTTTTCTTATAGACTCACCCGGTATATACTTGTCGTCTTTTCAAATTTGCAGACGCAAATATTTGACGTTCATTTTATAGAATCGCATACGCGAAGAAGATTAAAGGGAAACGAGTCTAATTAAGCGTATCGTACCGGCCATAGTCCAGATTAATTTAATCATTATTAATTTCTGTTCGATCTCACGTATAATAATTTTTTCATCTCGCCGGCAGACGAGCTTCGTGCTCGTCGATTTTATCATCTCTCTCACGGGAAAAAATTGAGCTACTGCTGCCGGAATATTTACACAGTATATGCAAATCAATATTCTTGTTTTTCACAGTTGATTTTATTTTTAATATATTTCCGACTGTTCCCCGTCCAACTCGCTCTTTCCCATTGTCTATCTCGCATACACGCGCCCGTTCATTTCATAATTTCCCGTATTTTTTGACGGCTTAACGCTCCAACGGAAATGGAAATTATTACCCGTTCGAATATTTATATTGTTGCAAACGAGGGGCAACATAATTTCACCGTGTCGGTTTATTTAGCTGTTGGCGTAAAAGTCGTCCACCTCGACGTGAATAGCTTCACCTCTTAGTTACTCCGCGTTAACTTACCTTCTCGCTTCTACGCAATTTTATAAGCTCTTTATTGTATCCACGGTGTCACGTTCTTTCTTTCAAACGGTTACCCTAAGCGAGCTGTTATTTACGAAAAATCATCACCTCGAAAAGCATTGCACAACGCGAGTATGGATTCTATTGTCACAGAGAACACCAAATGCTCGTCTTACGCCATCTTCTGATTAACCCTTTCGCTGCAACAGATTTTGATACGTAACGCACGTGACACCCGGTAGATGTTCAATCGAGGCAGAGATTTCTTCGTTTCGATCGTACCAGAATGTAAATCAAAATGAAAAATTTGTTTTGTAGGCAAAATTTAGGGTTTGGGGCGGCCCACATGGTCGTCAGCCGCGCCGATCGGTTTGATACGTAACGCACGTGACACCCGGTAGATGTTCAATCGAGGCAGAGATTTCTTCGTTTCGACCGTACCAGAATGTAAATCAAAATGAAAAATTTGTTTTGTAGGCAAAATTTAGGGTTTGGGGCGGCCCACGTGGTCGTCAGCCGCGCCGATCGGGACGGTGGCCAGGTTTATGGTGCCGATGTGACCGTGGGTAAGACGTGCCATAAATCTGGTCACCAGAAGTAAAGGACGGAAAGCGACGTTCCCGGGCGAAACGGTTTTTCCGCCAAAATCGCGATAGAAGGGGAACGTCGTAGGGGTACGTCCGAAAACAGCCCTGATTGGCTGAAAAAAAGAAACGCCCTCGTCAAGGAAATGTTTAAAAACGAATAGCGTGAGGAAAAATGAAGTGTGTGTAAAACGAACTTGGAGTGAGAAGAGTACATTGAAGGAGCGTGGCTGGGAATAGGACTCGTGTCCGTGAAGAATAAACTATTAGTTAGAAATAACTATTTGTTAGAAATAAACTATCTCGTCTCTCGCCCAAACCTCTCTCCATCCCGGACTCACCCTACAGTTTTAATAAAATTCCAAACGGAATTGAGGCATTAATTAGGGCAGGTACACCAAAAGGCGTGAAAAGCGTGTAAAATTTCCCCGTCCATGTTTCATTCACGATCCCCTTCTTCCTTTCTTTTTCTTTATTAGTAACGAAAAACAAGGAAGAAGAAAAAGATGAAAAGAAGCAACAGGAATAATCGTTGTTTCAATATTTACACGATTCAGTCGCACCCTCACGTAACAGCGATTCATCGTTGTCCATTCTCTCGTTTTTACCGTGGACTTCTTCGCGCAGCTACGAATCCTGTAACTTCTAATATTCTTCCCTAGCCTTGCTACGGCTTAACGAACTGCGAAGTTTTGGCACGAACAACCACCCCCTGTAGCGTAATCAGCAACGACGTTCGCCACGTTCCCGTTTCGCGACACTTTCAATCTTGAATTCTCATTTTAACCCTACCTTAGTCTGGTGAAGTTTTTTCCACACCATTAGTCTGCGGAATTTTTGCAAGGAAAATAAATAAACACAGAACAGTCGCCGTTAGACCGAATTCCTCCGCGTTTTCTCGCGATCTGTAAAGGGAGATGGAAAGACACGTTGACTGTGGAAATTCAGTGGTGACCGTTATTGAAGTTATCAGCGAAATAATGACATAAGCTACAATTTTCGGTGAATTGATATTTCAGCGTAAACCATGTCGTATACAGGAAAATTTTGATTCTATAGCAGCCCAAGCTAGCCTTAGAAAGAAAAGAAATTATACATACAGCCTTGGATAAAAGTATTAGGCACTCCACAAAATATGAATTATTTAAAAATATTTTTGTATTAGGAGGAGATTGAACTGTTGAAACGTGAGGACAATCATTTTTTACTAATTTTGTCAATATTTTGTTTCAACTGTTTTTTAGAAAAAAGAATTAACTTGCATCTCTCTTTTTTGGCGCATTTCCAGGAAAACTTTCTAACTCGCAAAATATTAACAGCGAAACTAAAGACCGGCTGACGTGTGTTAGCAGCGAGTATTAACAGCAGACTGCGACTTTTAGGAAGAAACACAGAATGCAGACTATGGATCGCTCAGTTGTTCCGCGGCCCGCTATAAACCTTGTCAACTGTTCTAACATTCCTTTGAACTGGCCGACAAAGGATGACGAACAACAGACAAGTTTCAAAGAAATAGTTTTCGCAGCAAGTTGTAACAATAAAGGTGCCTAATACCTTTGGTCAAGGTTGTACATTCCTAAAAATAGAAATTTTAAAAACGTCAATAATTTCATTAGCCACGATCTGAAAACAAACTGTTTAGCGTTCGGCTACTGTTGCGCTGTGATAGCCTCAATTGTAAAAGTAACAGAATGAAAATTTTTGGGTTTGTCAGACCCTACACTTAAGCTGAATTGTATCTTATACCTTGACAGATTGTAAATAGCAAAAGTGGAGAAAATAGAAAAATATGTAAGATAATGAAGTATCAATTGCAAGACGTAGCAAGAAAATCAAGAATCTTAATTAAAAGTGCTTCCTTTATTTCTACAACTTTCACCGACAAAACGTTCGTAGTCAACACGCATAACTCATTCATCCGCACACTTCGCAATCGATATTCGATCTGTTCTGAAATATTTTCCTACACAACGTTTGAAAACAAAAAGAAGACAGTCTAACCCCTCGAGAAAGATTAATTTCGTCACGAAAGAGTTAAAGAGCCTCGAATCTATTTTCTGAAACGACACGAAAGCAAGATATTCGTTCGCGTATTAGCCAACAAAAGGGTTAAAGAGCCTCGAATCTTCTTCGGGGAATGACTCGAAAGCAAAATAATTCTTCCAGGCTCGCTTCAAGCAGCCAAGATCGTCGATTCACGGCCACGTTCGCGAACGACGTCGATGCGAATAATTAGCCGGCAATTAAGTGGGCTCGCGTGCCCGCCTCCAATTATCGCGGTAGCTAAACGCTGGGCGCGCGCGTGCCTCCGCGATTAAACCGTTCGCCACACGCGCGCGCGCCCTTTGCTATTTTTTCTGCAATTAAACATTCACCCGTGAACGCGATAATAAATTAACAACCTGCTAGGCGGGGTTGTTAACGCACGAATTTAGGGCGAACCGCGCGCGCGGCCCGTAAGGTCGTCTAGGGAACTGGGTCAGAGCAGGTGGCGGACTCGCGGGGAGCCAGAGAAAAAGGGGGCCGGTAGGAAGAGTGCACTTTTCAAAAATCGACCGCTAAACGCTGGTTGCCGCGCTACCAGAGAGACATATATCTCTCCACCCTTCCTCTCTTCCCGTCAACCTTCTATCTTCGTTCTCGCCTCATTTCGCCCATTTACCCATCCATTCTCCGCGTTCCACGCGTCTTTCGTTTTCCCTACTTTCTCCACTTCATCGTTCACGTCGGACGATGGATCCTCCAAGTCTGAAGTGACTCTGAAGCGATCCCCCAGAGATGTTGACATCGTCCTCTACCAAGAAATCGTGATTTTTGCGAACGAAAAAGAGTGCCCGGCGTTCTCGTAAAAACGGGACACAACTATTCCGGAATCGGGACTCGTTCACTGTTAGCTAGTGTGCGCTACACTACGTCGTATGCGTATTTCGAAGCCCGGTAGCGGGCTTAAGCTTGCGCCGTTTGGCCTTCCTCTTTCTCTCTTTCTCCACGTTGCACCGCCCCCATTTCCTCTTCCTCCCTCTCACAGCATTGCTAGCCTTCTCTGTCGCACGAGCGCGGCTCTCGGCGTTCTCTGTTCTCCGGGTTGCTCCCTGGCTCTCTCTCATCCCCAGTGCGCGCATCGAACCCGTCCTGGACGAAAGTCCTTCCCGCTCCGTCGCGCGTACCACGCACGTTTTCTACGCGATCGACCTTCTCGACATGACTGAACACCGGCGATCGTCGCGTGTACCCCGATTCCTACGCACCCCCGTTGGATCCTCTCCTCTCTCTCTCTCGTCGCCGTTCGGGATCGTTCTGGATCTTAAACGGTAGAATTCGGTCGCTGGTGGATATACTCGGCGGTCA